TTGATATCTTTTTTTTCGAAGAATTTTGATACTTTGTTTTTGTATATTGGCAATCAAACAAATCTGCTAAAAGCCTTTGCTCTATGGCGATTATTCGCCAACTGATATATATTCGTATATATACTTTTGCCAGATTTGTTTATTATATCTATTTGTAATTAAGAGAGTTGTGTTAATTATTAAAGTTCATCTATTTCAATTCGCAATAAATGACTCATCAATCAAACGATTCAGATAAACAGTTAAACTTTGACATCAATAATGTTATATTTGTTTTCTATATGTAACACGTCCAAATATGTTCTCTGAAAAAAATATTAATCCTTCATTTACTCGCGTTAGTAGAAATATGGCATAGGATTTTATATTGTTTTATTTTAGATTACATACTTCACAAGTACTTTCCGGTCATTCTTGGTGAACGTGTTAATATTTGTTATGTCCTTTTAAATATTTCACATATCTTCTGGTATCCTAAATATTGGAAGATTGAAGGTGTAATTGAAGGAACCAAGAAGTAGAATTTACTTCAAGAGAAGTATATTACCGAAATAGTTATTGAAAAAGAATTTGGAGGTGATAAGTTGAGTTCGACAACGAAACGTATCACAGAACTTTACCCTGAAAAACCTTCTATAGACATGGACATCATCATTCATCCGTTATCGACCATAATTGTCCAACATTTTATCTTTCAAACAAGATATTTGCATTAACAATATATCGATTAGATTTGATAACTTTTTTCCCCATTTTGAAAAGCGCTTCTTGAAAGTTAGAATTTCGCAGTCCCACACTTCTGTTAAAGGTAGTGGTCTCTTTTGGGACTTTCTAGCTTCAAATGCTTTGGGAGGAAAACTTAAGAAAGCAATACATGATAATTACAAGTTTTGGAAAACAGGACAACGTGAAAAAATGAATTTATCAGAATACTTCATTCTCACATAGATGGTGTAGTAATAAATATTTATTATTATAATCAAATTTAAAAATGGAGTGTAAATATTTACCATTATTTTTATTTTTTTATTGCTTTTGTTATCATCATTTAAACTATCCATAAGCTTTTTTTTATCTTTTATTTTTTCAAAAACAAAGGTAAAAATATAGTCATTAATAACTGTAAACTTCAAAATTGATTATTTAAATATTTATCATTAGATAAACAAATGATCTATAAAATCAATAAATTTTCATTAATTTCTTCCTTTTTTTTAATCAAAAAATATATATATATATATATATATAAATAGGAGAAAGAGAAAAAAATATATATATATTATTTTAATTACTAATTCTGTAATGGAATGACTTGAGATCTTAGTCTACTCCCGAATGATTCGAGATCCAATTCTGATGATAATATGATATTTGTTGCTTTATTAGTTCCACTATGAAATTATTAAATTCAATAGTTACCATATAATCAATCTATTTTTTCTGTTGAAATCTTAACGAAAATAATTATTATACATTATCCTTATCTTATATTACTATTCCGGTTGGAAATTAATAGAATTCTATGATGTAATAATAGATTATTCTATAAGAAATTTGTAAACAGTTTCACAAGCAACTTTCCTCAGAACATTGTTAAAGTGGTACAATGCAATGCAAGTAGAATTTCAATAAACTAAGCAATTAGGACTTAAATATATCATAAAAGTTCTTTTTAAATAACTGAAATTGTTAAAATAAAATCGAAGTAATTTTGTAAATTTATTCGATCGAAACAGTTTAATAAGCATCAAATAAATTGAATAAACATTAGAAATCAGTCCTTTTGTGTATAAATTCAACAACTATTTGTTTCCAATTTCTACTTTTTTGCTTTACATATTTTTT